AGAGGAAGGCGAAAAACCTCCAGGGTCTCTGCCAATCTACCCTGGAGGAAAATTCCTTCCCGACCCCAAATATGGCGATCAGCTAAACCCTGAGCATGTGAGCAAGACTCACCAGCCAGACACCCAGAAAGTTCTCTATAGTAACTCCTATCATCCCTCCATTGACCTATTTACCACTGATAATGAATGGTCAATTAGTTACCAAGATCATGTTCTCAAACCATCCCCTTGTCATAGAATCATAGAACTGGAAGAGACATCAGAAGGTCATCAAGTCCAGCCCCCTGTTCTAAGCAGGACCAATCCCTAGTCATGAACACCCCTCCTACATCTAAGCCCCAGCCCTAGCCCTGAGCCCCCCCGGACCCAAACTCCCTTACAGACAGAGACTGGACCCTGAACCACCCCTAGTACCCTAACTCCCTGCCCAGGCTCAGCTCAGAGCCCCCCCTCACACTCCAAATCCCTTAGCCCAAGGCCAGAGCCTGTGCCCCAACCCTCTGCTCCTGCCTAGTGAAAGGGAGGCAAGATGGGGGAAGAGAGGACCCAGTTAGCAGGGGCAGGGCCTTGGAGAAGGGGCACGAAGGAGGCGGAGCCAGGGTATTTGGGTTTGAAGTAGATCTTACATTGCACTTACATTCAAAAAGTGATTTTGTAGTTGAAAAGGTTGGAGACCACTGGGCTAGATGATCAGTCTCTTCTGTACTTTAAAATCTATGCATATATAGTTCCTAATTATTTCAATTGGGAAGTTTGAGTCTAGTAAATATATCGGATCAGTCATGGATTTCTGTTCATTGTGAGATATTTCAAAGAATTGTCATCAGTTTTGCAGCTGACGTGAAATTTCTTTTGTTACTGTCCCTAACTTTCTGGGAAATTACAGGTCAGTGAGAGAAAACTGAGAGAAAGTACCTAACTCTTGAAGTGAATTTGCATGGACCAGTTATTCACAGCCATAACTCTAATGAAGAGTAAAAGCTGGAAACACGTTTCCTTAAATGGGCAAAGTCTTTGTATCTTGCGTTCTAAGTTGAGGCCTATGTGCATTAGTTGGACATAAAAAGACTTAATTTCTGAATTTGCTGAACCTTTTTTTCCTGACATAGTTAATCTTTTATAAGACCCCTTTGTGTTTTTGTTCATGCAATTAATATAGAAATGAAGGTTTTCTTAAATCAGGGTATGCATGGAAGATTTAAAGTAACATACTGATTATATAATTAATTCGCACTCGTAAATCTATTTTGGTGGTGTTAAGTCTTTCTCAGAGGCTGAAGACTAGTTTGATTCCACCTACAGTGCCATAATCAGCTGTAAAATAGGGAAGAAAAGGACCTTGAAAAATAGAGATTTCACTATCCATTTAAAACAATTCCTGGAAACAGGCAGGATATTTTATTTTAAATTTAAACTTCAACAAAGACCTTCTGAGCTAAGGTTTTAAACCACAGGTGTCCAGACTTTTTTTTCTTTTTTACTGGGCCAATTACACAATGCATTCAGACACCTCAGGCCACAAAAAGTCCTGGTACAGCAATATCAAAAGGAGTGTAATCCTGTGGAATCTTCAGGCTGGTGTACTTTGGAAAGAGCAGGGAAGTAAAATCCTCCTTTGAATTCATTATACATAGGGCTCAAATATAGCACATTTATTGATGCCCAAACCATTTTTTTTCACGATGATTGCCTGTATTTTATTTCTTTATAAATTAAGCAACAAAGAGCAATGGCTCTCATGATTTTGAAATGTTCTGCCTTGTATCACTCCTTGGGTCCAAAATATTGTGGGGTGCAAACTTCGGAACCTCACGAAAGGTCAAAGAACATTGAAAGGTCAGGCCTTTATTGTGCATTATTTATCTCCCTTTGTACTATTTAACGAGTTATGCTCAGTGTGTGTGCAGTGTATGTGTGTGTCTGGACTGTAAGGTCCTTATACTAAACCCCAATCCCTTTCCCCTCACCCCCTCGAATCTGTAATGCAGAACGAGGAATAGAACAATCCTGGACTTTTCAAATGATTCTTGCAAAAGCATTTCAGTATGTAGGTACATCACAAGAACCATAGCTAAATCTGGATTACTCGCTAATCAGAATCTCATTTCAGTGATGGCACGTGTTGATTATTTTTGTAGATTACACGTGGATGCACGCTTTTCTGTCTATGTGTTTTGTATTACAACTTGGATATGGCACTGTCTTGCTTTGACTTTATATGGGTGTGCTTGCATGTATGTGTTAGGTAAGAAAACGCATACAATGGCTATTACAGCCTTCAGAATGAATCAGTGTTTTGTTTTTCTAAGGCCGCTCGATTACTTCTGCTGAAGATATGTTGCGTGCGTTAAACTGTGTTATCACCACATTCCGTAGCTCAATCTGAGATGTGTAAATAAAGTCAGCATGATGCAGAAAGTGCTGCAAGATTATTTTACAACTCTGGGCAGCAAGAGTAGGCTTGCCCTGGAAGATCACTTCTGGAAATTTTTTGCCTTCTCTTTCGATTAACTACAAGTTGGACACTAGTATGTAAAGTACATATCAGCAATGTACAAATATTTTAAAACAACTATGACATCATTTAATTCTGACCCTAACAAGGTTATAATGGACCCATGTGAAAATGACTTTTTATTTTTTTCTATGTTGTCACTACATGGTTATTTTGTTCTGGATCATTTCACTTTCAAGCGATTTCATTTTTTGTTTTAAAAACAATTGTGTGAAAGTACTCTTTCAGTACCCAAATGTGATATTTAAAATTCTACTTCTTTTTATTGCTAAGTGACTTATAGCTAAAAGGAATATCCAAATATTTAATTTTTCATCACTAATTTTTATTAGGAATGTTTGTTTACAATTTACTTTGTGACAAAAAAAGACATTCTTTAAAAAAGATATGGAGTGGAGGAGGAAGCGACATCTAGCTGTTGTCTAAGGGGTTTTTGATTTGGCATAGCATCACCATAGCAGGATCTGTGGAAAGGGTGTTTGCCTCACATATACACAAACTCCTCCCCAAGTGACCTCCTGCTACAAGGGAAGTAGTGATGAATGTTCTACCATGCCAGCTGATGGCAGCGGACCCTTCCATTCCACTGGAACCAAGAGCAACTGTGTGGCAGAGGGCAGTGATGTGAAGAGGCAGAAATATAGGGCAGTTCCATGTGTGAGTATGTGTGGGGCCCCAGATTACCCTCATATGGCTCTAGTAAATGGGGAAACAGGTGATCATGCCAGAAGCTAGTAGCACCAGTCTTCCAGGCTCCCCCCCCCTCCCCCCCCATGTTGGGCTTTAATTGGTTAAAACACCTTCTCACTAAAATGCAATGTAAAATCTGTATCTATAGGGGTTGAATTTTGCACACTAGAATGTTTTGTACACATGCTAGAATGTCTGTAGTCATATCAACACACATGGAAAGAAATGCAATGTTAACACTAAAATTGTATCTTTTCCATGGCTGAAACATTCTGATTTTTTAATACAATCTTTTCTTTCTTTTTATTGCTGCACATTGGGTTCCTGTAATCCTGTGGACTAAAATAAGCAGTAAGCAATGTGATTTCAAGATGGCATCTGTAAAAGAAATGTATTATTTTCCTTTAACTTTTTCACCAAAAGAAAAGGAACATTTCTGCAGCAGAATGCTTATTTCATGACCAAAACTGAAAAGTCCAAAGCTTGAAGAGCTCTGAATGCAAATGGCAAAGTTTATAGTTTTGCAGAGGGTTGGAATCTTTAGGATTTGAGATTTGGAATTGTAATGTGTCTCCAACTCAAATCACTAAATACTTTGCTTTTGGGTTTGCATGGAAATACTGGTGTAGCAAAAGCATTGGTTATATATGAGTTTATACAGGGCGTGGATAACAAGGATTGCTGAAAACAAATGGACGGGAAGACTCTCTTGAATGGACAGGTGTTTGTGGTGGCAAGTGGACCTTGTTAGAGTGTTTCATGGTATTATTGGTCTAATCATAATAAAGAAATTTGGACATTGCATGATAAGAGGAAAGAATGTCAGAGAGGAAAATCAGATCTCTAGCACAGCCCTTGTTCTAAAGTTCAGCAGAAGTGATTTGAGTTAACATATGACATGCCCAAAGGTAGATCTGTAAACCTGATGCTGTTTTTTTGTAGCCAGACTTGTTCATTAACACTTACTGACCAAAATTGGTGAAGGCATGTTGGGTGGTTGGGAGAGATCAACCCAAGAGACTGGAAATAATTTAACTTTACATTTAGTCTCTTGACACTTATTTTTGTGTAGAATAATTTAATTTATGTCGACGAGATCAACCCAAGAGACTGGAAATAATTTAACTTTACATTTCGTCTCTTGACACTTATTTGTGTGTAGAATAATGTAATTTATGTCAAAAAGGCTATGAAGCCTGTTTTTAGCAGGGCATCATATGAAGAATGGTTTCATCCAAAGAATGTGGGAACTCATTGTGTCGTATATTGTGTTTGCTTCAGAAAACCATCGCCTAATTTTGCTGAATTTGTACACACTTTAGTTGTAGTTGCTTCTAAGTATCTTGAGCCTGAAAGACTCTGAGCACTTGCAATTTCAGTAGGAGTGACAGATCCTTAGCATCTCTCTTAATCTGGCTCTCAATACAGAATTTAGTGCAGCTCAGCCTCAAGCAAGACTTGTAGGCGTGGTATGAGATGTATTTAATTGGCAGGCCTCTGTGGGATAGATTATCTAAATTATCAATGTTGAAAACTGGGGTCTTGAAAAAGAACTTTGCTCTCCTAAGAGAGTGTGTGTATGGAGGGGAGAGAAGCACAGAGTAATATAGTATATTATAAATGGACTTTAACTACTACGTGTACTCTTTCCTCCTCCCAAACTACTGTGTGTATTCTCTCCTGCTCCCAACTGAACACATACAGGTGTGGATATGAAAATCTATTCTGTACCCATTCTGTGTATGAACACATCAGGAAATGCAGAATACGTAAAACATTTGGTTTACTTTTTCAGGAATCCGAGAAAAAGGGATTAATTGAAAGAATCCACATGGTCCAGGATATTGTTATAACAGTTCAAAACATTTTAGAAGAAATAGCATCATTTGGAGAGAGAATTAAAAAGTAAGTGAACGATGTTTTGCTGCCAACTCATAAATTCCTCCCTCAGAGAGTAGCTGGGAGTTGCAGGGGAAGAGACCAGCCAGGCCTGGCTTTGTTTCTTCTCCACAGTGATGGTACAGGTTGAATCTCTCTAGTCTGGCTTTCTCTGGTTCATCAACATCCATGGTCCAGCATGTTTTTACTTAGCTGGATGGCCCCTTAGTCATGGGTGTGGCCAAGTGTGCCCGGTCCCATAGAGTTTGTTTACAGCCACTAGTCCTGGCTCTGTGTTCTGTGCTGTTATTCAGTGCTAATTTACCTAAATGTATTCTAAGAGCCCAGTAAACAGTGGAAGTGTTCGTAATTCTGCTAGACAATATCGTGCTCCTGTGGTTTGGCAAATTCTCTGGTCTGATACCAGTCAGGTCCCAAGGGTTCAACCTGTATCACAGAAAACAGTTCAAAGCAGAGAGGAGAAAAATAATCATCAGCAGCCCTACTTCTCAGCTATCCCCTGTGTCCTGCCCTCAAACCCCTTTCTTATCTACCCTCCTGGGTGGGGATAGGCACGGGGGACTCTGACCTGTGGTCAAGGGAAAGTGCTGCTGGAAGGAGGTGATCACAAAGGTGCATTTGAGTGTTATTCCTCTTTCTCATCCACTGTCTTTGAACTGAGGTGACGATTAATGCTTGAAGTTTCTTTCCCATTGGACCCCTCCTAGGCTGGACCTATGGGTTAACTGTTGCTTGTCACCCCTATCTTGTGCCTTGAAGTGCTTCTCTATACTTCTTGCTGCCATGTGGGAACCTCGATAGTCCTGAGGTATTGTTGCATTTGGAGCTATAGGAAAAATTGCAGACTGCTCCCAGGGCTGAGATCCTCAGGAGGTCCTTTATCATTTGTCACTACAGAAGTCACTTAGTTGATGCATTACACCAGGAAGCATGGAGATGGGGGGAGGAGGGGAGCTCCCTAAATAACTTTCCTACACATACACATTTGTTTTTTGTAATGACACCCATAGTGGAGAAAAACTGAAGTATAACTGACCCTCGCTACTTTTCTCTTTTTAACACAAAGTGGTTGTCTGTAACAGAGCCATGCTTAAATAAGGAGCTGGGTTGGGGCTAAAAATATTTCAAATCCATGTGTATTGGTTCCACTCCCTCCACCCCAGCTGTGGTAGAAATGGCCAGGAGATGTATTCCGCTCCATGAACAGGGTACTGTTCTGTCCAGCTGCATGGCAGGAAGGCTCAAAGTGCTTAAACACTATTAATTCTGGTATTTATGTTGGTAACAATGATCTTAAAGAACCCATTGGTATTAATGTGGATGCCCTATGTAATTCCCAAGGAATTCCATTGTAATTAAAAAATGATGTACCATTAAAAAATTGCTACCAAAGTTGTTTTTTAAAATGATAGACCAATTTGTGCCAGAGTTCTGTCTGTCACTCTGACTGTGTAATTCGAAGGATTTCTCTGAATTTAACTATATTGAGCTGTCTTGGGATTTGGTTTTTGCTTTTTGAGTCAAGCTACGCAGTTGTGCAATAATTGTGGGAGTCCTTTCACTCTTATCTTCTCTTAATGTTTTTAACGTTTATGGTGGCATTCAACTATTTTCCTCCTCCTATACGTTTTGTGTGTGAGATGAAGATCTTCTTATTTTATATCCTGATGTAGTTCTGAGTGGGCCTCCTTGACTCTCTCTTCACCTTCATTGTGATGTTGAAGGTGCCCACAGACAATCCATGTAATGCAAGGACACCCAGATCTGAAACTCCCCCCATGCATGGACAAATGCCTTTGTTCTGCAGTTTGCTCAAAGTTTAGCTGCTGTTGCCAAGGAACAGATGGAGATCAGAGATGTGGCAGAAGGGCCACAGGGTAACTCTGAGGAGGCAATAAATAGCAGCATTGAGTTATTTCACCACTAGCTATGCCATATGTGGTCTAGGTCAGTAGTCACCTGGCTGTATCATGACCTGAGTGAAATAAACTTCACTTTTCAGTCTTGTTCCTAACACATTATTGTCCCCAGCATAGTGACAGAAGCTATTATCAGTCTCACTAGAGACTAAAGACTGACTGGCTGTGGTGACTGCATTACTCCTTTACCTTTGCTCGTGGTCCTTCCAAAATAAGTCTGAATCACTTTGGTGATGTGGATAGGCTTGGACTGCTGCTGACTTACTCTATTTAACGTGTGACAGTCCCCTAAATAAAAATAATAATGGATTGGTAAAAGTTGAAGAAATGAAAGGAGATATGTAGACTCCAGAGACTATTCCCCTTGTCGCATCCAGCTGCAGAAATCTCTGTCTCTGTCTTCCAAAGGCTCTGTACTTTTCTCTACAGTTTATTTATATGCATTGAATATTGCAGAAAGAGTCATTGAGTTCTTAATGGACTGTAAATTATAGACAGCATTTAAGATCAGTAACACTGAAGAGGTTTTCTTGTTGTTATTTACAGCACATTGAACTGGACAGTGCCTTTCCTCTCAGTCCTGGCCTGCTTGGTACTGACCGCAGCGACCATTATTTTATATTTCATACCATTGAGGTACATTGTTTTAATCTGGGGTAAGTACACCACAATGTTGCATTTGCAAGAGAATAATCCAATATTAATATATGAGAGAATTTATAAACTTTCTGTCACAGAACTCAGATGTCTGGGGTGGGCATTCTGAGGATAATAAACACTCCATAAGCCTTGGTGGAAATGACCACTTGTACCAGAAGTTCATCTTTCTACTAATAGACTAAGAAGTTACCTACTCTGAGGTTTATCTTAAAATGTTCTCATGGTTACCCTAAGGGGAGCCTTTGTTCAGACAAAATGCTGCCAGTGCCTTTCGTGCTGAGTTACCTAGCGGAGCCTTTGTTCAGACAAAATGCTGCCGGTGCCTTTTGTGCTGAGTTACATAGATATGCACTGAGCAGAATAAGATGCCAGAGGTTGAAAGGCTATTGCTGCATAGCATCTACAGAGGTGATTGGGGAATGAAGGGAATGTGAGAAGGAACATCCTGGAAGAATCATCTGGCCTTGGTATCCATGAACTGACTAGAAGTATCCGAATGGTTTAAGCACTAAAGAGCCAATCCTGCAAGATGACAAACTTCAGGAGTTGAGGGTGCTCAGATTGCTAGAGGCACTTACCATATTTCTGGACTCGAAGAGGGATAGAGAGGAATTGGTCCATGGGGTGTAAAAGAGGAAGGCTAAGTTTTGCTAGTGTGAAAATTGAAAAGTGGGGAGGGTGGAAAATGGGTGGAAAACAGTGTTTCACAAGGCCAAGACTTTATACTGCAAAGCCTGCAACAAAGCCACTTCCCTGGGACCAGGCTGGCAGGGGCAGCCCGCTTTGCACCTGTGGAGAAGGCTTAGCTGCCATACGTGCGAAGCTGCCTCCGGGAGCAGGGCCAGCAGGAGCTGCTGACTCCAATTCTGGAGAGGAGGCTTTGCTACTGCAGTGAAGATGCCTCTCGGGGTATGGAACCAGCAACCCCTGCCAGCCCTGCTTAAAGGGAGGCAGCATGTAACCTGTGGGAGGGACCAGGCTGGGCCCACCATGGAGAGCGGCTACTCTAGCCAGCCGGAGCAGCCCCTGCTTGGGGGTGGGTCCTACGAGGCTGGAGCAGCCTTCTGCATGGCTCAGGCGGGGAGTTGCCCAGCCCCTATTGGTTAACCAAAACCGGTAAGCCTCACTCATTAAGGGTGAAACTTACTGGTTAACCTTTTACATCCCTACTCACAATGCAGCGTTTAAAATAATAATATATTGTGATTGTGTTTTGCTGCTCCTTCCTTTAGTGGTGTATTTGAGCTGATGTTCAGTGTTCTGTGTCGTGTCCTGTTCTCACTGCCCATTATAAAGAAGCCAGGCACAAATTACAGGCCTGATTTTCAATGGGGCTGCAGCTTTTGTGTCTGATTTGGAACTAGGGAATATAATTTTTTAGGAAAAACCCCATTGTGTGCAGACTTATGTCTGCACAAATGAGCTCAATCTGAAAATCAGACTCTTTATGTATCTTGGTAATAAGAGACAGGTCATTTTTTTTTCTCAGAATGTTTTTGTCAGCCTTCATCAGTTTCTTTGGTTATTTAAAATGCTAAATCTGGAGCAAGCGAACAAAAACCAGAGGGCAGGGTAGCCTCATTGAACAACTTTGCAAGGTCACCCCATCAATGTTACTGTATGCTTCTGGACAGTGGTCAGCCCTGATTAATTTTATAGTGCTGAAGCGTCCACTAACGTCACTATTACATTAGGAAATGGAGATGAGGAGGGTGAGTGGATGATATGTCAAAAGCTGGAGCTGGGAGAAAAACAATAACATAAATGATTAAATTCCACAAAAGTGCGAATAAAAAGGAGAGTGAGAGTGAGAGGAGATTACTGTGAGGTAAAAGTTCAGTAACAATATGTTTCTGCCTCAATGTGGAAGACATCCAGAGTACACCACGGCTATACGTCCAGTCAACATCATCTAGACTGACAGGCCCTTCAAATATGATACATGTTAAACAACTACCCTGTGGCAAGGCCTCAAAAGACCTTATGGTATTTTCTGTTTTTAAAAATCAGGTACACAGAAAATTGTGTTGGCATTTTGCTGCAAGAATATAGCTTAAAAGCTGCATTCATATGTGAAGCAGGTACATTTGAGAGAGAGAGAGTGAGCACAAGGGAGGGAGAGAATAGAAGTCACTGGATTTGAAACCATATGCAGAGAAATTGCTGCGAAGTTTTAGCTTGGGTTGTGATTAGATTAGGCACTTTTGACCTCTTTCTTTGCTGATAGGATACCAATACCCTAATTTTCAAGATGCATTATTGTTTGCTGTCCTTTTTCTTAATAGTATTCAGCTCTGCTGTGGCACATTTCTGCCTTCCATCTAAAAAGCTTGCTAGTCAGGAGGATAAGCCATATTACAAATGCTTATATCCAAATGGAGAAACTGAGGCAAAGAGAAGTTGAGTGCCTTGTCAAAACTGACAATGGCTGAGCAGAGAATAGAGCCCACATCTCTGAATCCCAATCCTGGGCCTTGCTCATGTCGTTGCTCAGAGAATAGGCTGGCTCAAGATTCTCTTGGATACCTGTTAGGTCTTGTCCACACTAAATGGAAGAGCGACGCTGCTGCAATTGATCTTCCAGAATTCGATTTAGCAAGTCTAGTTAAGACTTGCTAAATCGAATTCAGAGGTTGCCTCCACCAGTGTCCAGTACTCCTGCTCTTGCCAGGAATAAGGGAAGCCAATGTTGGCTCTCATTCACCTCCGGCTATGGGGATGCCGCCAAACTTAGCTTAAAGTGTTCTTAGTAGCTGCAATTGTGTACCTTAAGCCAAGCTGCTGGATCTAGTGTAGACCTGGCCTGAGTTAAAACTGTAAAACATGCCTTCACGACCTCCACTTCTACCCCCATGAGTAGATCTAGTCAGAAAATGCCATTTCTTTGAGACCTAAACAGTTCATCGAAAAGGGTCTCTCTCTTTTTTTTTTTTTTTTTTTTTTGGCAGGGGGGGAGAGAGGTATTTATTATTATCCTCTTCCAAACAAAAAATTCTGATTTTCTGAGTAGAAGTAACTTTTTGTTGTGGAAGGTAAGATAATTCAAGGACAGTAAATAATGGCAAAAACAAAATGTTGTGGAATTCTCAAAACAAAATATTTAAAGCAACCCAAATTAAATGTATTTAATGTTCTTGGTTAACAGACATTTTTGAGATTTTTAACTGTTTGGCCTGATTTGGGCCAGGAAAAAAATTTATATCGGACCTTTTTTATGGGATCAGAAAACTATTGTCTGCCCTGCTCTCCTGATGAGCCCTGGTTCCACTGACCGGACAATCTACAGTTTGGCTATTTCTGCAGAGCAAAGTAGGGCTATGTCTAGACTGTAGGCTTCTTTCGGAAGAAGCTTTTCCAGAAGAGAGCTTCTGGGAACACTTCTTTCAAAAGAGAGCATCTGCACTGCAAAAGCACAACAAAAAAGCAATGTGCTTTTTCGAAAGAGAGCGTCCACATTCATTAGCCACTATCTCGCATTTAAGTTCTGATTCCTGTGGATAGAGTGGCCATCAAGGCACGTGTGCTTTTTCCTGGAGGCCTCTTCTTTTGGAAAAAAAAACCCTCTTCCCCGCCTTTTTCATCTACACCCGCCTTCTTCTGAAAGAGCTCTTTCGGAAAAAGGCTTCCTCCTCAGAAAGAGGTTTACCTCTGTTGGTAAAACCCCTGCGTTCTTTCAATGTTCTGTCGAAAACGCAATTGCAGTGTGGACGTAAGTGTAGTTTTTCTGGAAAAACTCGCAGTATAACCATACACTCGGAGTGACTATGGTGGTGGTTCATAATTCAAGTTATCAACCGTAGTAAGCTCAAAAAATAAAATCCTAATAAGTTTTCACAGTTTCCCACAGCATCAAAGTACAATGAACATGTCAAATCTGGCTCTGCAATGAAAGGATCAAAAAGCTCTGAAACATGCTGGGAGAGGGTGGGGAATAGATTTCAAAGATTTCAGTAGCTTGCTTTTTCAAATTAAACAGAGGAAAACAAAAAACCAAAATTGTCCTCTGTCCCATTTTTCTCCTCATCCTCCAGCATTTCCCCCCAAGTTTCACGAGAGGACCACATTGGGTCTCACGGAAGCCTGTGTCCAGCTGGGATTCTGTATTTCAGAGCAGAATGGGCTATTTCTCTGCTCCCTCTTCCCCCTCCCCCCACTAAAAAACAGAAAAAAGCCTATGGGTTCCAGAATCTCTGTTTTTGCAGCTACTGTGTCTCCGCTGGTGTGGTAATGGGATTTTCACCACCCAAGTAAAGCAGAGACTTTTCTATAATAACTCCCTTTCCCTCCTTCCTTCCAAGAGGCAATCGTGAATGATTCCACATGACAGCAACATGTGCCTGACTTGAAGTCTAGTCATTGTTTTCACACTAATTTTTACTTGTGAATTCCTGCCCCTCCCTCCACCTGAGCAATTATAAATAAATAAATAAATAAATCGGGTTTGTATTTTTTTTGTTTTTTTTCAGGCATTAATAAATTTACTAAGAAGCTTAGAAATCCCTATTCCATAGACAATAATGAGTTACTGGATTTCCTCTCCAGAGTACCATCTGATGTTCAAAAAGTAAGTAATGAATGACCGCCACCAACAGGGGCATCAAGGCTCATGAAGCGCTGCCAGCGCTGTCCTTGTGGAATACAATGCTGAAGCATTTTGAGTAACAGAGATAAGGCATCAGGGAAATCCATAACTGGGGCAATGAATGTGAGCAAGAGGGGAGTTGAAAAACTTTGTTGGAAGCATAAGATGATTGAAGAATAAACTATCCTGAAAAGAGCTACTTAAATATGACCTGGAAATAACACTGCATGGTTACTGAGCTATAAGGTTTTTTTCACCTTTTTGCTCTGATGTTTGTATGGAGGGCAGGAGGATACAGTGTCTCTGAGGCTACGTCTACACTGTGGGTGTTTTGCGGAAGAGGAAATGCAAATGGGGCACTCATTTGCATATCTTGTGCTCTCGTTTGCATATCTTCCCATCCTTTTTGTGGAAGAGGTTTTTCCAATAAAAAGCCCTGTGTAGATGGGGCTATTTGTCGGGGAAAAAACCCTTTTGTGCAAGAGCCCTTTATTCCTCAAAAAATGAGGTTTGCAGGCTCTTGCACAAAAGGGTTTTTTTTTTTCCCAAGAAGGGTATGTCTAGACTACATGCCTCTGTCGCCAGAGGCATGTAGATTAGACTACCAGGCATAGGAAAATGAAACGGCGATTTAAATAACTGCCGCTTCATTTAAATTTACATGGCTGCCGTGCTGAGCCGATCAGCTGTTTGTCGGCTTAGAACGGTAGTCTGGACGCGCGGGGGTCGACATCAAAGGCATTTGTCAACCTCCCAGGTATGCCTCCTGGGATGAGGTTTACCTGGGATGTCGACAAATGCCTTTGATGTCGACTGCGGAGCGTCCAGACTACCATGCTGAGCCAACAAACAGCTGATTGGCTCAGCGCGGCAGCCATGTAAATTTAAATGAAGCGGAGATTATTTAAATCACCGCTTCATTTTCCTATGCCTGGTAGTCTAATCTACATGCCTCTGTCGCCAGAGGCATGTAGTCTAGACGTACCCTAAATGGCCCCATCTACACAAGGCTTTTTATCTCAAAAACCTCTTCTGCAAAAAGGATCGAAGGAAGATATGTAAATGAGAGCGTGAGAGACTCAAATGAGCGCTCCATTTGCATTTTCTCTTCCGCAAAAAACCCTCAGTGTAGACATAGCCTGAGCGACAGAGAGAATCATCCAAAGAGGTTTACTGAATCCCTCATCTTCTCAAACAGGAGTGAGGGAGGTATTCCATGATTTTGTGTTTCTTGTGATCTGCCTTAGGCCATCTGCCATTCTAATTTCTTCTTTCCGTCCCACCTGAAACTTAAGATTTCCTTGGACAATGCTACACTCACTTTTTATTATACAAACTGAAGATCTGTATAAAATAACGTGTGATCAAGAAGATTGATCTTCCACTTGCATGGAATTATAACGTTCAGTCTATCCAGGGTCACCCTCCCCCACTTCAGTCATGTCTCTGTGTTCAATAATCTTGTCCAGCTGGCTGCAAATTATCTGAACAGTGGGTCTTTTAGAATGTCGAGATCTATTTATTTCTCTCGGCAGAAGGAAAATAGTCTTACTGGGTGGCAAATCGCACAAAGTAAAACAAAAGAAACAATCCTTTATGATCAGCCAGAATCTTATGACCTAGGACCCTGATTCTGCCAGCCTAAATCACAGTGAAATAGCTTTTTACTCCTCAGGCAACAGTACTTGCAGAGTAAGGTGCTGCTCACTGCACATAAGGGGATCACAGTCTAGCCCATAGTGATTTTACTCTGCTGAAGATTGGAAAATGATAGTCTCCATGCGGTGTCAATGCAGCCAGTAGAAACAAAGTTGGAAAAGGTTTTCATTGACATTTGTTTCAAGAGATCTCCAGATTGGTTGTTGCCAATGCTATAGCTAGACAAAAATATCTCTCTAGATTGCAAAAACAGCTAAACAGAAATAATCATAGAGACAGTAAGCTTAAGTGTATTTGTATTTTTGTTGCTGTTATAGAATGCATTGGATTTGCAGAGATGTTTTGCAGTTGTCCTTTTAATGTTTATAGTTAAAGATAAGCTGCTTTTTCTGTTTGTGTTCTATTTAAGATTTACATTAATAACATTTCCCTGAATGGTTTCTGTTTGATTGAACTCTTTAAGGATGGTCTGATGCTATTTTCTATGAGGAAGCGTTGGTAAAACATATATGAAGGGATCTACTTTCTTAGGGGAGCTTTGCCATAAATACTAAATAAATACTAAATAGTGAATTCATTTGGCATCTGATACAAAAATCTAATTAAAGCTGGCCCCAGGCAATATCAAAGCCATATCTGCCTGCTCCACATAACATGTTGCTAAAGCACCTTCGTTTCATTTTGCTAGAGACCTATGAATTAGAAAATACCCTTAATATCATAGCATGTTACTGTATGCTAGTAGCACATGGCCTGGACAAGAAGTATGGAATAGGCAGCATATTCTTTGTAAGATTCTTATAATTTCAATGGGGACACTTTTCAGTTATGCAGCAGGTAGTTTATGAATGGAAATTATACTACATCTAGATTTATCACGGATGTTTTAACCATTGTGTCGTGAATGAAATTGTGGGGAAGGAGGGAGAAATCTTTTTATTGGGGAAAATATTGTTCCTCTTTAAAATGATTAAGCATGTCTGTATACAGTTTTTAAGACCACTCTGACCTTACCAAATATTGGGACCCACTTGCTTTATCATTCCCAAGAGAGTCTTATTAGACTTCTAGGTTAATACAATAAAAAAATAGTCCATTTTGGCATTGCAGAGATCAGGTAGTGCCCCGTGCATCTCATTAGAACAATCTGCTTTTAATATTTTGGTTTCAAGAAATGATGCATGACTTCTCAAATCCTTCCTGCAATTAATCCCCCATGTTCCTGTGTTTAGAAAATGATTCATTACTTTTGAACCTTCCTTAGTTTCCCTTGGTTTTTCCTTAGGGAGCCATTAACACACACTGTAGTGGGCTAGAGTTACCTAACTGCAAACGTCATGTCTATTTGTTTTTACAGGTGCAGCATGCTGAATTGAAACCATACAGCAACTCCAGTTCCCTCAGGAAGAAATGGAGTGCTCTATAGGATGCAGACAGATTTTGGAATGCAACATCCCCCTCCATACACTCACATGGAAACACAAATTTTTTTCTCCCCACACCCTTTTTTCAGTTAAGATCAACATTCTTATAATAGCCATGGGCCCAGGATGGTTCTTCTGGAAAACATCTATTTTCTGATGTACACCTATCCTGAAAAGGCTTTCCTTTTGGCACAGGGGTCTAGCCCAACCAGAGCCAAGTGGAATGCATGGACAAATGAGTGGGTAGAGAAGAGCACAAATGTGTGTTTACTTCAGTTATTAGGGTAAGACTGAACATTGCAGCTCTTCCTCTTTGTATGTAGCAAGATATAATTCTGCTTCACATAGCAGATCAGTGAAGCTGATGTGAGGAGATGCTCTGATTTCATTTTTAACATATCCAAAAGATTTACTTTACAATATGACAGCTATTCTTGTCTGTTAAATCACAGCATGTAGAAGCGTTTAAACTCTGAATTAACAAGTCTGATACCCTGCTTCTGTTCAAGCAGTGTCTATTTTGAAAAGTTTTTTTATTATAATTACCAGAAACAGTTAGAAGCTCCCATAGTATCTCAACACTTCATCTAGCACTTATTTTTTTTAAAACTGCTATTAAATCCTTGATGCCAGAATTGTCTGGCATAAGGTCCATTGCTGGCAATGGAAAAACCAAGATCTCTTGTTGTTGAAGGGTTAAGAGAATCCTCAGACCTGAAAATACCATATTTCTGACTTGCTATTGATAATTCAATCTCATTAAGGTTTTTGGCATAACTGTTGCTTTTGTCTAAATCTGGAGATGTCAACACTACACCTCTTGAAGAAAAACACTTTATAGCCTTAAAGATGAAAGTGCTTGGGCAGGAGAAGAGCACTATGCCTAAAGCAGTAGTTGTGAATATGTTGCGTTACTGTAATTGTTCTCAAACTTGTGGTTCATCGACCATCAACGTTCTGTGGAGTTTTTCCTGGTGGTTCACAGACTGAAGAGATAAGAGAACCAAGCCATGAAGAACTGGTGTTTTAGTAGGGGATGTGGTCCCTGAGAAAATTTCAGTTCTCCCCCTAATGCAAGTCCTTATATTTCCTATCCACAGAACTCCATGTATTACAAAGTTGGGTATCCATTGTTACCCATTTCACAGATGGGGAAAACTGAGGCTATGTCTAAATTACACCCCTCTGTCGGCAGAGGGATGTAAATTAGATATTTCAAAAATGCAAATGAAGCGGGGTTTTAAATATCCCCATAATCGTGTCATGGCGCTGTTTCGAACAAGCATTATTTCGAAACTGAAACCGTAGTTTAGACGTGATTTTTTTCCAACAACTGGGTGCTTTGTAATCCTTGAATACAGGATCTTTCGAAAAAGCACCCCATTGTTGAAAAAACCGCATCTAAACCGAGGTTTCAGTTTCGAAATGGCGCTTGTTCGAAACAGCGCTATGACGCGATTATGCAAATGCAACATCAAATATTTAAATCCCCACTTCATTTGCACTTTCAAAACGTCTAATTTACATCCCTCTGCCGACAGAGAGGAAATAAGAGCACAAATTCCACTGACTTTCAAGGAAACTTGTGCTGCTAAATAACTTCAGCTGGTGCTGACTTGACTAGAACCTAAGCCTCTTGAAAAAGAAATTAAAGGAAACCATAGTAAAGAAATTAGGGAACCACAGGATACAGAGGACTTGAAAATGCACTATTTAGAAATAAACTGATTAATCAATGTCTATAAATATAGGCCTGAGGATTTCCTGCCTACCTTTATTGGCAGCTCTGTCTTGAACAGTTATATTATGGTGTCCAGCACTGAATAAGGAATGTAATAGTGATAGCTAATGAATTATTACTCATTCAGTAATTTCCTAATAGTTTATTTTTCAAAGTATTTTTAACAATGTTTACAGTGCCTTAATTGAGGGAGAGGAATTTTCTTCATGTAAGATTTAATTTTATAAACAAGGTGTTTCACTGAGATATCATGTTGTAGGTATATATGTAAGAGTAGAAAATAAATGACCCCTCATTTCAAAAGGAAATGTGTGTTTTGTACAGAGGTACACATACATAAATAGTGTATATGTGTATATATATGTATATGAATTTATATATATATATATGTGTGTGTGTGTATTTTGTGAGTGTATCTCACATACACATGCGCAGACATTTAGAATGCAGTTTAAAAATCTTCAAGGAAAATGTTTATGAAAAATGCCAAAAATTCTAAAGCTTATCATTTTGTGTCTGGTCTTTTTCATTTTGTATCTTTCCCGGCATGTCTTTCTGGCTGAGTCAGATCTCTGCATGATTTGATTTACTTCAAGTTAATGAAGCTGGTTGGAAAGAGCCTTGTAGAAATTATAAAAGCTCCAGTAAATCTATTTGTTCATACAGTAGATATCCACCGACCCCCTTTTTTTAAACCAGTTACTCAGTCTTCTGTGTAAACAATGCCTCATTGTCTCCATCTAAACTACCATCTAGTTTATCATACTATAGCCTATTATTTGGAAGGACAAAACTCTGAGATTTTGAACACAAATGTGAGATCTGTCCATTCATTTGAATGAAAACATTCCAAAGCAGCAAGCATACCTTATTTGTTTAGAAGGCGGGACCAATATTTTAATATTTTTTTCTATAGAATATTTTAGATTAACTGATTTCTGTTCAGGAGACAGGGTAATGTCTATTTTTTTAAAATTGTAAGTGTGCCAAATTCCAGACTATTTTGTATTAGTCTATTATGCTGGAGACACCCAAAAGTGAGAGTTTTGCTATGTTCCACTTCCCACATGTATTGCAACGTGCTATTTGTTATGGTAAATATTTGAAGTGCAATAAACACTTGATTTTAAGTTGCTTTGTTTTTAATTAATCTAATCAGAATATATATTTCCAGTTCAATGTAGAACATTTACCGTGGTACAATACTTAACATTTGACCATATAAAGTAAGCACAGTATATAAGTACATGTCTTGACAGGAAGGAAGTTCAGTCTAACAATAAGAGCAATGAATAGGGATTTGTAATGGAAGCCATGCTGCCATGGGAAACAGACTGATGGGGAGGAAATAGTCATCTGCACAAATCCAAACAAATATCCTATCGTCTGCAGGATTGATCTCTGGAACTCAGATCATCCACAGGTTTGGAGGGTTTCTTCCCCTTGACTTATGGAGTTCTCTAGTCTTCACTTACAGGAGCTAGCCTTGGATGATTAATTGTTCCACATTCAAATGACCAATCTTCAACCTCACTACACTTTTCACTTGATCCAGAAGGGTGGGGTATGTTTTTGTTTTAAAAATCACACTCAAGTCACAGTTGGTATAGGTGCTGTATTGTTCATTTGCTATTGGAAGGTGTTGATATAATAGAAATACCAATACACATATAATAGTATTCACATCCCAAACTCTCGTAGGATGCGTCTACACAGCACCCTAAACTCAAAATAAGATGCTCAAATGGTGTATCTTATTTTGATTGAATTTTAAAATAGCGTATTTTAAAATTTGGCGCGTCTACACATCACCAAGTTTCAACATAACGTGCTATTTCGAGACATTCCTTACCCTTGTGGAAAGAGAGTTACAGGGATGCTGAAATAGCGGGGCTGCTATTTTGAGATCGATCTCAAAATAGCGGACACATTTGAAATACTGTGTAGACGTACCCTTCCTGTCATAATGCATTCAAAAACACAAACCTGACTTTGAGTCCAAACTAGAGAGGAGTTGGAAGCAGTGCACACGTGTACATATACACTTCATGGACAGTTGTGCAAATATCAGATCTGATGGGTACCCAGGAGTCAAATATTTCTGCATACGTTCAGCCAAACACTAGCTGCTTCTAAAAAGTTGGGTTTTGTAAATGCACCTAAAGTCCATTTTCCTTGAACATTTGTATTGGTTAAGTTCTACCATTAAAACACTAAACCTGGAAACCAGGCAAATAAAGCTTGTTAACTCGGAATAAAGAGCATTAATTTTAAGTGTGAAACAAATATTGACAGATTTCTTTGGTGGGAAGGGAGAAGCTGAGGGGCAGGTATTTGCCATGCTTTTATTTTAACCTTAAGCAGTTCCATGGCAGAGTGGTAGGGCATTATGAAAGTCGAGACCTGTAAGGGGTGATTGGGTTGTTTGGTTTGAGGGGGCTGCTTTTTTAACTCATGACATACAAAATGATCTGTTAGAAACCATTGTTGGGGTGGTGGTTGTTTTTTTAAAATCAACCCATTGTGTCTCTTTTGCATTTGTAAAGGGACACAATCCAATTCATTATTTTTTTTCAACAAATTGGTTTAAAAATTGTTTTTGATATACTATTTAAAGGATTTTCTATCTTGGGGATTTGGAGGGGGTGAAGGTTGGGGAGGGAATTAAAGGATGCTGTTTGTAAAGAGTCTTTTCAGCTAAAAAGGAAATGACTAAGGCTTTGATCCTACACCTGGATTCACAGGGGACTGGCAATGTTGATCAGTGCCTAACTGTACTAAGGGATTGACGCGCTCACAAACCCAAGAAGTAGAAGATAAAATTATGGGAAGTTTTCAGGTTTTCTTTTAATCAATAGCAATGATGCATTAAAATTTTATTTCTAGATTTCAAGATAATGGTTACCCCCTTACATGGCTGCTGGTTTGTAATTCAGGTAATGCAGACTTTTAGTAACATGCATTTTCTTGATGCTTATAAAATATTTTATTTTTAGCATTTGACACATTTTTAAAACACTAATACAGTGTGTGTTCCACCCCCTGTTAAAATACCTCAGAGAGAGAGCTCAAATATATCTTAGAGGAAAAGTAACGACTTACCTTAATTGTCCTGCTATTGTTCATTCCCTTTCCTTAATTCCATTTTTTACTTTTCTTCTAAGGAGTTTTTTATGCTTGCTTGACAGTGCTGCACTTTAATAACACTGAAATTCTAAATCCTAAAAACAGCCTTGTCAAGCCCTAGTCAAGTTTTCTCCTCATTTCTTCATCAGTGTTTTTTAACTCTGACCACCTGTACAGAACAGGGGTCAGATCAGGCTCCTACACTGGTGTCCTCTTCAACCTGAGCTGAGTAGCTATTGTGATGACAGGTCAGACAATATAGGCACTTCTCCACCAGAAATGAGACTGAAATCCACTAACTCACCTCATAATAGGCCAGAAATGAACAGACAGTACCGGTCTACTACCAACCAGAGCTAATGGTAGTTGCTAATAGCCTGAACAGTCTAGAGGAGAAAGATTTACTATTGTTCTAAATCAATCACCTTTTTTTTTTTTTTTTTTTTTTTGAGACCCTGATCTTTCAAGCACTTTCACATGCAGAACTGACATTGACTTCCCCCTACATAGATAGAATTTCACAGGGGATGAATTTGGAGGATTTGTTGTTTTTGTTTGTTTTTAAATAAGATTCACAAAATGCCTCTTAACCAAACTCCAACCTTTAGATTCTCAGCCCTTTAAGTTAATAGACTGAGAAATGTTCACTTTGGCTTTAGAGACTATGGCATATTTTAGAAGTGAATCCTCTTCTGACTTAATATTGGACTTGCATTTTATCTGTAAAGCTGCATGTGTCAGTGCCTTAGTGCATCCACCCCTTCAAATCACACAGTAACACGATAAGAGTATCTGCTCTTTAGAATCCATAAAGTTAGCAACTCAGAGGGAGGCTGAGATACTACAAATGATTGTTAATCTGGTGGGTTGCAGATGGAGTGTTTTAATCGCTCTCAAATTGGGAAGAGTTAAGCAAGCTGAAACGCCATCATTTCTGGGTTGAGGTTCTCTCAGGTGATTTATTGTGGGGAAGCCAACCCTGCAACAACCAAAATCTTACAGTGCCAAAGGAATATAATGTGAGGGGGGAAAAGACTTTTTATTTCACATGTACATATCCAAACCAGTTGACTAATGGTTCATTTCATGTGTACCAATATGGGCTTTCACCACTTTTAATCAGCTATTTCCCCCCATATACTGGTTTAAAAGAATGCAGTGTTAACGAGGATTTAGAAAGCGTTCGTGCGTTTAAGATACATTATTTGTGCTACCTTAATATATTTAATCCTGAAAGCTCTATTCTCAGGCAAGAAGGAGCTATGGATACTGGTGATGTCACAGTAGTATTTATGCAATTAAAAACTGGAAGTGTGAGTTGAAATTCTGAGTGCAGGTGACCAATGGACTGGAGGTTTTTTTTATTTGATTTTTT